CACGGTTTCTTATGGTATAAGTCTCAGACATACCGCTGTGTCACTAAGGGGCATTATGATCTGAAAATATTTAACAATTTTTATTAAGGTTATAACGTACAGAAACTGCCGTATTCTAAGTATCTGACATTACTTTGTTCAATATATTAAAAATTCGTTTTTTTATTTTCACTTTATTACAGGTAGTTTTCAACAGATTGTTCTAGCTTTATAGAGATGAACAAACTTTCTTGAGTATGTACAATAACAACTGCGCAGTCCCACACAGTGTTTAAGCCTCCCACCCAAATACTTCACAGAAAAATTATATTCTAAGTGGTTTTTATCGGACCAAAAAATGTCAAAGGTTGTCAAGTTGCTCTGGATTCCCCGTGCATTGTAAGAAAATGTTTGAGATAACACTCAGAGGACGTGAATGTTATCTACGAATAGTGATAATTGTGATGTGATATATATCTTGAAGATAAAAATACGTTACTTAAATAGTGAAACCAGGAATCTGGCACATGTTGTTACTATGATAACGTCATAGGTCTTAGAACAACTTGCGAATTTCTTAGAAGTGTGGTTGAAAATCTTATTTATTTCGTATCTAATTACGAGGTCTTTGTATGCTCATTGCTTTAATTGTAAGTGTGAATAATGGTGTATTTAATATGTCATTGCGAAGGCGGTTTTGTGTATTTAATTGTGGTTGAAAATATAATGTTATGACGCATTGTCAGTAACTTTTGATCAAAAGTGAACTATATACAGAGAATGAAAGATTAAAATTAAACAGCATTTTATAAATTCATAAAGCCAATTTCATGAAACAAGACGTATATATATATAATGTCATAAATAGATACACAAGAACACTAAAATCCATGATGCTTATCAGCTGGGTGCGTACCCTTGCTATTAATAATTACTGTCGGCCATAATCGTAATATTATTTCTTGACGTTCGAGATCAGATTATGAGATTTAAGTTAACTATATGTTTGTACACTAATATAACAAGGCCAGATAATTTGCATAAGTGCAGAGGTAATCAAAATATAATAATAATATTAAAAATAATTATAAATATTTTAACCAATAATATTAATGAAACTAAATTTAAATAAAATTGTTAAATATGTTATTATTTACAAACCACACAAAAAATCAGTCGTTTCTTGTTTCAAGGGCCAAATCAAAATATGTTGCCCTTCGGTGGATCAGAGACAAGCCTACGAGCTTATAACGCTAAAAATCGGGTTTCAATACCCACTATGGTAAGATAGCCCATTGTGTAGCTTTGTGTTAGTATATGGAAGCACATTATGCTAATTTAACAATAAATTGGCAAAGAATGACTTATAAACATAGTGAAGTGATTTATTTTGGGAGGGAAAATACTACATGTTTTAACAGATCATTGATCTGTCTTCTTCAAGTATAAAGAAGACAGACCAATTTTTGTCGAAACATTTACGTTCCCCCTAAAGTAAACCACTTGATTGTGCTTATAAATCGTTGTTGGCAAATTACGTATCCCTCAAAATAAACCACTTCATTGTGCTTATAAATCGTCGTTGGGTAATTACGTTCCCCTCAAAATAAACCACTTCGTTGTGCTTATAAATCGTTGTTGGCCAATTACTTTCCCACCCAAAATAAACCACTTCGTTGTGCTTATAAATCGTTGTTGGCCAATATATTATTAGCTTTGGGGTTAACAACAAAACGAACAAACAAAAGAGAATTTGTAGCAGCTCACACCCAACAACATAAACTACCCTTAACCCTGACTCTTGTAAGATCGATAGATATATTTATTCTTTGCAATATTTATCTTCTACTTACAATAAAAGTAAAATGCATTTTATTTACAGTCTTTGGGCACATGTGTAGTAAGACGGCAACGTAAATCTTCCAAATCCAAAATGTTATCGATACCTTAGTTTAAGCAAAACAACGCATTGCTTAAAAATTGTAACCTATTATCATGATTTCAAGTTTTTCAAAGTTCTTCTTAGGCCATTTTCTACATCTTGCCTGAGATGCAGAATGTAGGATGAATAGCTTCTTAAATGTTTAGATACAGAATTTCATGCTTAAAACAAATCTTGTAAAATACAGTTTATACACACAACATAAAACAACGACAAACCTAAAATTTCACTTTTACGCAATTAATTTCATTCATACAAGTTTATAATTAAATGGTGTTACTTATGGTTATTAGAATGTCCGTGAAATTGATAATAATTTCTTATAAAATTTTACTTTTCATGCAACTGAATGGTTCTGAACGTCACCAGTTACAATTGCGGCTCTTTTTGAGCTTGTTACGTAGATTTATCCAATGATATCACTAACCACCAGAGGCGCTAATCTGTTTAGTTACCCATTTATTTCGATCTGCTTGGTGTATTTTCGTTTAGTTGAGCTAATTATCTCAAGTTAGGAAAATCGAATAAAATTTATGAACAGATACGTGTAAAAAAACTGCTTCATACAACTGTCAATGTCTTCGTAATGGCAGTTCCTACCACCATCTTTTACTCCCACCCATAAGCAAGCACGTGCGCTTGCTCACCCACCTTAATGTATATGAATAGGGGGGGGGGATAGCATAACTACTTTGCAAAGCTCTCTAACTATAGGTAAAACACAATAAGGCTAACGGTTTCCGCGGCTTTAGGCACGTGGCCGTCGTCTCAAGTCATTACCACCGTTACTCACATGTATCTTTCTATTTACGCAAGTTCCAGCTGTTACCCTGCGGCCGTCTGCCAGACGCTGAGACAAACAGACAGCCCTGAAAGCAGAAGTACTTGTGTACAGTGTAAAGCCAACCTGGCCTGCCCGCTCAACAGCCTGCGTTCTTTTTAATATTGTGTTTAATACAACTGGAGGGCCCTTTGGTTGCCAATGGTGTAAGAAGAAAGCTGTAATCGGAAGAAAGGTAGTACTAGTTAATGGTCATTTCTGAGCAAATTCAAACTGGTGTATTATCTTGTTTTTCACAAACAACTAAAAAGTTATTTTATTTCACACAATTCGGACACAAACCATGGGTTTCGCCAGTATTTTTTCAGGGGAGGGGTAAATTGTGAAATGAGTAATACAAATAGGCCTAGATATGCCATGCGAAGTCAATTGAAGTCTAGTACATGGTCCATAGAAAGGTTCATGTCAGATTGAAGAAACATATTAGCAAACGAAAAAGGTTATTATTTTCGACAGCTTTCGCAACACTAGAATTAATTTTCTTTGACCATCAAAATGCGGTTGAGGTTAAAAGTGAAGTGTGGTCGTTTGTATTCGACTATCCAACCCCCACCCTGCGCCATGCCCATGTAAACCCGTTTTCGGAGGGATGTATTGCGTTGATATTTTATCTTTTTTTTTTCCATCATGTCAAGTCCCCCTGTAGGACAGCGGTAAATTCACGGACTTACAATGCTAAAATCCTGGGTTTGATTCCCCGCGGTAGACACAGTAGATAGCCTAATATGGCTTTGCTCGAAAAAAAACAAACAAAGCATTAGGTCAACCTAAAAACATAGGTGATTCGTCTACCTTTGGCCCGGCATGGCCAGTTAGTTAGGGCGTTTTACTCGCAATCTGAGGGTCGCGGGTTCGAATCCCAGTCCCACCAAACATGCTCGCCCTTTCAGCCGTAGGGGCGTTATAATGTGACGGTCAATACCACTTTCTGTTGGTAAAAGAGTGGCCCAAGAGTTGGCGATGGGTGGTGATGACTAAGTACCATCCCTCTAGCCTTACACTGCTAAATTAGGGACGGCTAGCGCAGATAGCCCTCATGTAGCATTGCGCGAAATTGAATACAAACAAACAATCGTCTATCTTTATGTGCTTGCTATGGACGCTAGCAAAACGTTATGAGTGACGAAAACTCTGTAAAAACCTTAAACGTTCTAAATGTCATTTGCGTGAAAATTTGATTGACAGCATCTCTTTTTCATTCTTAATCATCAGACTTTCATTGGAGAATAGTGGCTCTTGCGACAGGATAGTTAAGAAAGCTATTTTAGACATGTCGCGTTTACGTTACAGTCTATTTGTCCTCTACCAAATATATCCTCTTTCTGTAATCACGTGTCCTGAGTGTCCTCATTGTTCACTTATATTATCGCCTTGTTTTTTAAGTGCAAGCCTTCTAAACTAACTTTTGTCTAGATATACATGCACTACATATGTTACTTTGAAACCTCAACCCTGACCTGCTCGTGTCTGAAGCGGGCCAAGTTATCTAATCTAAAGCTTTGTTGTCGGTTTGTTGTTTGTTTTTTTCGCTCACAGGAACAAATCTTTCTCATTGGGTTCACATGTTATCTTTTCGGTGAAGGTAAAACATCACCGTCAAATGTATTCCAGGACCTTACGAAATCATTTAGATGTTTATGCAGATGTGACGTAAGACGTTTTATCGTGTGTAAGGTAGAAAGTACAGTACTTAGCTGACTCTTGAATTCATTATATCGCAATCTGAAGAAAATTTTAACAATATTACCTGTCTAATCTAGCCTTGTTAAATAATTTCGAACGCTTGTGAGATGTGGCCATCAGATTGTTCTAGGTCTTAAATATATATATCCCAAAGCTGTCTTGGGTCTTAAATATATATATATATATATATGTATCCCAAAGTTAAGTTTAAAAGTTTTTTCTTCTTATCTCCGATAATTCATCGTTTGTATTAACCAGCAAATTTATTGAAGAAGTAAATAAACCAAGTAAGTTTATTGAGTTTCTGCTTTACGTCATATACGTAGTTGAAAGTTTGAGTTTATTGGCGCTTTAATTCAAAACCTTTATTGTGCATGTTGACAGTCGAAGTTGATGCATTATGCTATCTGTTTAGTCGTTGTTTCTGCCTATGTGTACTAACTTTCTATTAATACAGTTAAGTACTTACTACTAACGTGTAAATTATTATTATAATGTTTGTCGAAGATCTTATTTATAAAAGATGTAGTTACGAACGAACATATTCTGTTGCAGATTTAACGCCGGTATAACCGTTGGATATATTTAAAAAACCTTCAAATTCGGACCGTTAGTAGAAGCGTGATCAGACCCTAAGTTTTCTTCAAGGTAAGTGTTAATACTGTTATCTTAACATTAAAATTAACCTAAATTGGCTTATCTTGAAGATAGGAAGTGATATTTTAACGTAATATGGCGGTTAATGAAAGTGCTTTACTAAAGAATGTAACATTTTACTGTACGAAGACAAAGAAACTGAGATTCTGCTATAGATTCCTTTCATTTACCTTTCTCTGGAGAATATTTTTATGTTCAAATATCAGATTTAGGGTATTTATTTAATAAACTAACACCATTTTATTGTATCATCATGATATTACTGTACGTGTGTGATACGATATTACACAAGCAACTCGACTTATATTAAATAATTTATGGTCGAAAAAGGTCTTTATAGAATTACATAACTTAAGTAAATACCTGAGTGTACATGCATGAATAGTATATATATATATATATGTAAGTATTGTTAATTAGATGTTAAAACTATCGCAACACATTACATGTAACTAGACGTTTGATTCTTCCCTTATAAACACATATTGCTAAATGAATATTGAAAAAAATATCTCAAGGCATCAAATGTAACTCATTGTCGTAGAAAGTAGTTTTGGAGTAATCAGGTCATTGCCACATTGCCATTTCTAAGGGGATCTCGGGGCATGCCCTCCAGAAAATGTTTGAAAATTTAATGCTATGAGCTTGAATCTTGGGCCATCTAAACTATAGATACTGCATACACACAGTGTAATGTATGGAAATAAAAGAAGCAAGTTTTAATACGTACGTTGTAGCTATACATGCCATAAAAAAGTGGTCAGGCCCTGGCCTGACTGACCTTACCGCTTCCTTCGGCCTTGTAACTCATTACTTGTTCTTTTCTCCAATTTTTCATAACTTATAAGGGTTAATTTTGATCATGTGTTTGGTAGGTATATCTTCAAGAAAAGTTTTTTTTTCTTCTTGTTACATGTATGACAGATTACAAACATTGTATACTATCATGAGAAGAATATTTTTACACCTTAAGTAGTTTTAAAATAGTATAAAAATATGTTAAGCTTTGTTTGAGCTTGTATTTTCAAATGTTTATAACAACAGAACATATATTTCTTGAGCTAGTACAGTTTTGTATATGTTTTTGTTGTAAGGCAGAGTCTAAACTCTAAATATTTTATCTCACGTGTTTATTTGTTTTAAATTAAATCCTGTCTATGTAGAATAAATATGAAATCAAACTATCATTCGACTCACCATTTGTTACTGAGTTATAACCTGTTTCTGGGAATTTCCTCCATCACCAGTAACCCTGGACAAGAACAAATCGAAACAAGACTAGACTTCTTTTAGTGATGGAATACATATTATATGTATGGTGTTATAAGTTGTCCCCACATGTAATGAACCTATCGAATGATGTATTGGGCTTGGTGTTTACTTGTATTATTTAAACAGCTTTTCTGATGAATAATTCAGAAGAATATATTAATAACATCAATGCTACATATTCTTCAAATCCTTTGTAAATATAAGTTAGCCGTGGTGAGTAAAAGACAACTCAAAACACCATACATATACATGCTGTGTACTAATGGGACTGTGTATTTGTTTTTGTTAATTTACAAACAGTTCTGTAACTGGTTAACCGTATATAAAAAATGTATTTATTATGATTGGTTAGCAATAGAAATTTAACTTTTATAATTAATTAACCGTATATAAACAATGTATTTGGTATGACTGGTTAGCAATAGAATTTCAACTTTTATAATTGGCTAACTGTATATAAACATTGTGTTTATTATGACTGGTTAGCAATAGAATTTTAACTTTTATAATTGGCTAACTGTATATAAACATTGTGTTTATTATGACTGGTTAGCAATAGAATTTTAAGTTTTATAATTAATTAACCGTATATAAACAATGTAGTTATTATGACTGGTTAGCTATAGAAATTTAACTTTTGTAATTGGCTAACTGTATATAAACATTGTGGAATTTAATTGGAATTTAATTTTTGTAACGGGTTAGCAGAAAGCAGAAACCATATATCTGTCGTAAGTGTTAACACAAAAAAAAATGTGTTTATTGTAGATAATTAATAATAGATCATGCTTTTGACGTAGCTGTTTCACAGTAGAACATGCATTTGTTAACTAAATGTACTTGTTACATGTGTTGTATATAGAGTTAAGACGGATAGTAGTTGTTGCAGCCGATTATATCTTATAATCCGTTAAAGCATTATATGACAAACCTGTTATTGAGTTTGTTCTGCAAGGATTTGTGTGAAGAAAGTGGAAGTGTGAGATATTTCTGTTTCATCGCTGGAAGGAAAGTGATTACTGCGATTTAAGTAATTCCTTCAGAATTGAAAGTGAACGTGTACTATGTGTCAGGAATTTGTTATCACAACTTAAATATGATTAATTTACCTGACGTAAATTTACTCGTGTAAATAATGTGACTCATATGTTTCTTAACTGGTAATTAATGCCTTTGTATTTCGAATGACTTTTATTTCACATTACCTATTTAAGTACATTTTTTTGTATTCCACAAAGGAGTAACGTTTTGTTCGATGAGGATATGGTAAATTTCTGTATGATTACTGCGAAGTTCAGTATGTAAATAGAGCAATAGAAGTTACAGGTATGGTTGTTTAGCTTGTAATCTATTACATAAAATATGAATGTTTATACTAGACTTCAGAATAAACAGATACCTCTGTACGTTTGTTTTGGAGGAGGATGAACAAGGATTTTAGTAATTTACTGGTTTCTTAATTGAGACAAGAACTGCATGTTACAAACCTAATGCATGAACATATTTACAAAAGAACGTCGCGTAATATAAAGTACAATTAACCCATAATGGAATGATTTGATTTGATTCCTTAAGTTTTCTTTTTTGAAGTGATCTTTGATCAATTTATAGTCGAATGTTTATCCTGTTTCCTAGCTCAAGATTGTGTTTCTATGGTAACATAGTTATGATTCATTCCCAAGCAAAGAAAATACTTTCATTTTCTGTTACTGTGGTTTAATACTGATTTTATCGCAAAAGGCTATGGTATTGAAACTGATTAAGTTTGTCTTTGTATTATATATATATATTTATTTGTATAAGATTCAAAGAAAACCGTGTAAAGATTTCACAGTAGTGAAATACACTCGTCGCAAGATTATTATTATTATTATTATTTTGGTAGATCGGGATTGAAAGTTTCATCCACTACGACAAAGATTGGTTATATCTCAAGAACAAACACTTTTTTGTAAGTATCCACCATTTTGGTATGTATGGAATTGTGAAAATAAAACTAAATCAACAGTTTACTGTTGTGATCAATGAGCAAAATTCAAAGTCAGACAAAATATTTTATGTTGAAAACTTATATATTCTTTTGACCTTTTTTGTAGCTATACTAATATGATATAATGTTATTGTCACAGAAGTTTCTTGTTTTCAAAACTGCAAGAAACAATTGATTTCATGTGAAGACGAATGGCATGGTTCAGAATTTAGCCTGTAAGTTTAACATTTTTGTGCTAATCTGTGAACTGGGATTATAGCAGCTTCTTTTGCAAAAATCTTTATAGTAAAGTATTATTATTCTACCTATATGTCACAGCACGAACTCCTAACTGTGTTAACGCAAGTTATCATGCTAAAGGGGGTGGGATTGTTTTCTTGAATCAGCAGATATTGTTCAGCGATTCTGGGACAAATGTTTCCCACTTCGTTGTAACGTAACTAGGATAGCAGCGGAACTCCCCTTAATTTTTTGACTACAATAATAAATTGTAAATGAGGAAAGGGAGGGAAGTCAGGGCGTTGTCCCTCCCGGAAATCGCCTACTTAGGTATTATTTACCTTAGCTTGGCAGGAAATACAGTTTCATTCCTTTTTGCCCTCCGGGTCAAAAATCGACACCTTATCAAGGCTCCACGCGATTCTGTTATATCTTAACTTTGTCTTCTCGCTTTCGGTTTCCATACAGTAAGTAGTCGAATATTCAACATATTTGACATAAAAATGTAGAAATGTTAAATTATGTAACAATACTTACGCAACTGGATGCTAGTGTTCATTATATTCTGTAGTTTGGGAATATATAGACTAGGTTATGAACTATTAGACTAGAGGCGTTCTTCTGGAAGTTCTTTCAGGTGGAACGAGATCTAAAAGGATTTCCTTTCATCTGTCTCTCTGCCTTGGGTACTATACGTTACAGTATAGAAGCCCTCCATGTGAACTAAGATTACCGTGAGAGAAAGTATCCCTTCATTTGGTCAAGATTTCCAATGTTTAATTCTATTATAGAATAGTGAATAAAGTATTAGTTTTAGCTGAAATTAATAGATAGGAAAATGAAAGGTCAAGCAAACGTATAGATAGATAACTTTATAAGTGTCCTTTTCAGTATGAAGTAAACAATCATAGAAACCCATGATATATTTCATTGTTTCTTTTAAAGAGATTTAATCGAATAATTTTATTTCCCGTTATTCAGCGTGAGCATGATGGGATATTTACTGTAATTTCGTTTATCTTGCATTTTACTGCATTAAACTTTTTAAACATAATTGGAATGTGAGTGCTTAAAACTGTGCAATTTATTATTGGCTTATTTTTTTTTAACGTTATACTGAAATGAACGGTCATGGGTACATCAGAAGTCAGCCATAATTACAGTTTTCAGACGTTATATCCAGTAACCAGCAGTTTCGTGACAGGTAGAAAACAGGGTATTATTTACCTGTACGAGTTAGCCTTTAAACACACTTCGTATAGGAATCAGTTACTAAATGACGTATAACTATATACGCTTTTGTTTAAGGATGTTTGTTCCGTTTTCTTATATTTATTGGTATTTTTTCATACACTTACATATCATATTGGATGCATTATAAAGAACAGAAATTTCAGATTTATACGAAAAAAAACACACACAAAATGTATAGTGGAGTAATATGTACAACTAAATATATTATACTTAAATTAAAAATATATAAATGACGTTCGGGAAGTCAGACATTCAGAAATGTTTGTACAGAGCCCCATCTGTTTCATCTATTCATATTAATTCAATAGCTAGTTCCGGTTCCGGGTTAAGACATCCGTCGGACAGCGGTTCTGCCCTCGAAGCAAGGGAAAGGTAAACATTTTTAACACTACAGATAATTCTTTACCTCGATAAAAAAATTTTAAACGAGCAAAGAGTTACCATAATAGGTAAAAATGGATGTGAGCTTGGTGTTGTAGGTAAACAATCGTACAGCTTACTCTTTCATTCCGAATAGACAGAGTTTGAAGCTGGCAATTCAGGTTTCCGGCTAAACTTAGAACTCGGGTTCTTTTCATATCTCTGTAGAGGGAACTGGGAAGTGAAAACATACAAGCTCACATTGTATGTTTCATTTCGCGGGTTAGCTTGTAAAGCAGGGTTGAGCCGGATGGAAAAATTTGCCCTTTCAACGATGCAGGGTGTTTTAATACCGATAAAGATGGGAAATGACAGTCATATTTTGAACATATATTCGAATTAGTTGCTTATTCTTGGTTGATCATCTCCACGTGTTGGTAATAAAACTTGCATGTGTCAACTCTAACGCCTGTCACGTGGTGCTGTAACGATACAATTCCACGCATTTTCAATTCCTTTAATGAATAGAAGCTGTCAGATATTGATATAAAGTGTGTGTGTGTCAATTGCTCGACCTTCCGTTATCAAACAAAAAGTTCAACAGTCAGACCGAGTCGTGAACTTATGACTAATTTTTTGTTACAGTTAACAAAACAAATATTGCTTTAAAAAATAATTCATACATGTTATTAACCTGGATAAATAACGGGAACAAAATGGAGCCCTCCAGTTCAATTTCATCATTAAGCAGCATCAAGAAGTAGAGCAAAGTAGGATTGATCACGTGGGTGAATTTACCTACATTTAAATTCGTATTACATATGTTGAACCTGACTTGAAACATCAATATTTCTGTTCTTTAATATCTTCAATATTATCAGTCAAGTCACTTGAAATATTTTCATTCGGTAATATTGTGTTACTTAATATTACCTGTGTTGTTAACTACGTCACTTATAATATGTATATTCAGTAATATGTTGTTACTTAATATTACCTGTGTTGTTAACTACGGCGCTTATAATATGTATCTTCAGTAATATGTTGTTACTTAATATTACCTGTGTTGTTATCTACGTCGCTTATAATATGTATATTCACTAATATTTTGTTACTTAATATTACCTGTGTTGTTAACTACGTCGCTTATAATATGTATATTCACTAATATTTTGTTACTTAATATCCTGTGTTGTTAACTACGTCGCTTATAATATGTATATTCAGTAATATGTTGTTACTTAATATTACCTGTGTTGTTAACTACGTCGCTTATAATATGTATATTCACTAATATTTTGTTACTTAATATTACCTGTGTTGTTAACTACGTCGCTTATAATATGTATATTCACTAATATTTTGTTACTTAATATTCCTTGCCTGATTACTAAATTCACTTGAAATATTACGTCTATTTAAATATCTACGTTCAAATATATTTTATTAATATGTATGTTCTCTGTCTGTTTAATTAATTCACATTCAATCTTGTAAAAATAGAAAATAAAATGTCTATACGCTAATTGAACTTTATAAACCATTATAGTGGTCACTAATTAAAATAAGAACAATATACCGAAACCTCAACTTGGCACTCTTTCTCTAAGGTTGTACGACAATAAAGGTTTAAGATTATCTCCATCGTTTTCCTTAATCTCACCAAGTTATTAATATAAGTATATTTTAAGTGAGTTCTCTTCATTAAATCTATGAATTCGAAAAGAATTGTAGTAAACGTAAGGATATTCGTTGTAAGTACGTACTGTAAAAACCAATAGGTGTGGAAATAGTAACAGTAAGTGTGAAGCTGTTCTGGATTACCCGGTATATATATACATACATGTACTTATCCATTATTTCAATGTACATCAGATAATTCTCTGTCATTTAGAAGTCCTAGATGAAACTATTATATTGGGCTTAGCGCAGCATGGTGGTTAGCAGGCACGAACTGCGAATTCTAGGATTTATGGCTACATTGCCGAAACAACGTACTCCGCATTGTGGGGTCGTGATGGTGTTTTATAAGATGATTGTCAAACCCCACTATTGAGCCAGCCGAGAGATGGCGGTGGTTGCTACCTTCCCTTTAGACTATCAGTTCAAAATCGGGGACGGCTCTGTGATGACAGCCTTTCTATAGCTTTGAACGACTATTCTAAATACAACAACAACTGTCTATTTTATGTATAGCATGTGATCATAATACTTATTTGTGATAATAAAACAATTCGCAGTGCTTGTTAGATGCAAGGGTTAGTTCACGTTGACATAACCATAACGTGTTATGAAAACTAAAAAAGAGGGTGTTAGTACATAAAACTATTTCAATGAATGAATGTAACTGTGGTGACGTTTTTACTGCTTATAGTATGTTTCCTGTAAATTTGATAATAAACATTTCCGTTACATTGATCATATTCATAACACATTACAACTGATAACATGCAAGGTATAGATGGATCCAACAAATCGGTAGTAGTGCTTTTCAATGAAATAGCTGGCCCGATCTTGTTCTACAGCTATGTCGAAGATGATAGCTTTTGTTAGACAACAGCAGGAAATAAAAAGTGAAGACGAAGAAGCGCATCTGTATATTAAGGTGTTTGTAATTTGTTTCTAGTTAGAGCAGACAAACAGCATTTGATGATTTTAATTCCAGATTATATAGACTTCATATATAACGTTACTGATTTTTAAATAACTATTCGTTTCGTTGTTTCTAGTAAAACTTACCTACAGCGAATCACACGAAACGTTACCTCCACATTAAAAAAATCAAAAAATCCCCAAGTTCATTTTGAGATGAAAATGGATGTTCTCTGTGATCCACTATATACAATTTGTTAGTTTTTGTGTGTAGTGTTAAAATTGTTTATAACCTTTCAACTTGCTCGATTTTACAGTTTCATATAACCCGTGACAAACCTTATACGATATTGCATGTCATTTTTTTATTTTCTTTCATCATCTTTACACAGTGCTACTTTTTGTGTAATTTCTTACTAACCTTACACGATGTTACAGTTTGCTATATTTCTCGAGATCCTTGTGTGTTGATACAGTTAATTTCCACCATTTTGCACGATTGCTGTAAATACTTGGTCCGTACCAAGGTATGATTCTCTCTATGTAATTAAGAAGTGAATACAAATGTCACACTCCAATTGTGTAACTGTTTATAATCTAGACGAGTGTCAAAATACAATCATATTCATAAAATTAACTGTCATTTATTTTAATTGTTTTACAACGTCGTGTTTGCTAGTCAAGAAAGTTTGGTCGAGAAAACCCTCAGGGTTATATCATGGCTGTAGAAACCTGATATCAAATACCAGTAAACCCTTTTACCTGATTAATATGTAAATTACTTCAAGAGTATAAATTGGTTGAACATAGTGCATTGTGGTAGTTACAGTCTAAAAGTTTCAGCCATGTATTGTATAAAAGATTAACTATAATTCTACATTACGTCAATTTTTGAAATTAACGTCCGATAACAAGACAGTTCATGAACTATAACTTTCGGCTTGAGCACATGAATTACCATACATGTTCCAACTAAAATCAAGAACATATTTTAAGTACAATCATGTACGGATATTGGAGGAGTCGGTAGTCAGATGTATATGATAAGACATGTCACGTTGTATGAACTATAACACTGTCGTAAACATTTTTCACTAGCTGACCGAGTATTGTTTTGTTACACTATGTATGAGGTCATGGATTTCAAAAGTTAGAGAGGCGTAACAATATAAAACAGAGAAGGTAAGACTTGAAAAATCGGCCCTCGCTATATCATAGTTTTATTTCTGTAAGGAAACGCCTTTATTAAGATCAATCGGTTTACTAAGGGACAAAATTGATATTTTAAACTTTCTGCTACAAAGATATTAAACAAACACCTATGGTTAACATGGGTTCATTTTGTACCAAACTTTATTTTCCGTGATATTCACGAAACTTTAACAGAAGAAGGTTTGTTTTTGAATTTCGCGCAAAGCCACACGAGGGCTATCTGCGCTAGCCGTCCCTAATTTAGCAGTGTAAGGGAGGGCAGCTAGTCATCACCACCCACCGCCAACTCTTGGGCTATTCTTTTACCAACGAATAGTGGGACTGACCGTTACATTATAACGCCCTCACAGCATGTTTGGTGGGATGGGGATGCGAACCCGCGACCCGCAGATTGGGAGTCGAGTGCCTTAACCACCTGGCCATGCCGAGCATGAATGGTGCTCCCCCCCCCCCCAGATCGCTAGAATCCGGGTTTCGATACCCGTGGTGGGCAGAGCACAGATAGCCCATTGTGTTGTTGTGTGCTTAAGTACAAACAAACAAACAATAATGAATGGTATACGTATGCTATGAAACAAGCAAAAATATGGATATGTAATATGTCCACGTTGGTCATCAAAGGATATAAATAGGCCCACTTTATACTTTATGGCTGATATAATTTGCTGCGGAATTATACTGTACTGGATGAAGTTAGAACGTTATAAAATTCTCTCTGCGCTGATCGCATTGTGGCAGCGTATTATGAGGATGACTTCAGGTCTTGAAATATTTTTGTTGAATTGCAGGTAAAGTATTGTTCAGTAGGTAAGGTTCTTTATGTGGCACCAGTGGCGAGATATTTATACTTACCACCTATTTCATACCGCAATATTAATTTGGACATGGGAAATTTGGGCGCCAAAAATACAAATGTGTGTGTGTGTAATTCCTGTGTCTGTTCTTTTTTTTTTCTTTTTTTTTTGAGGTAGAGTTTGTGAGTTAAAACTGAGGTGTTTTTGATAATTCTTTCAATTTTACAGTAAACAGCCAGAGGATCATGCCTAGTATGATGAAGAACGATTTGAAATACTTGTTAACACTTCTCATAATATTAATATTTACTGTCCTGTCATTGTCACTTTGTCTGTAATGATATGGATGCGTATAACAACCAATAAAAAATTAATTGTTCCATTCAAAGGCTATAGCTATAAATAACAAATGTT